GTGTTCCTGCCTTCTAGTCAAGGTAACAAGGCGAGCTGCTGAGTTCTGTACAAGCTGAAGTCTATTAATCAGATACTTTGGGAGACCGTACAGTAGGGCATTACAATAGTCCAAACGCGATGTTATGTAAGCGAGAACAATAGTCTCAGTAGTACTCTGGGATAGGTATCGCCTAATTTTAGCTATACTACGAATGCGGAAAAATGCGTTCTTGCAGGTTATTTTAACGTGTTCTTTGAAATCCAACACATTGATCAAATGCAACTCCTAAATTGCAGGTTATTTTAACGTGTTCTTTGAAATCCAAACACTGATCGAATGCAACTCCTAAATTTCTGGCCTGTTTACTAGACTTGATAAATATCGTGCACCTTTTGGCAAGAAATTTCATAGGTTTCAGCATTAAGTGCGCAACTTTAAGCTGGAAACTGCTCAACTGCTCAGCTAAAAGCTGCCAGAAATTGCTCCGTTTTTAGGAAGTGATTGCGCACTTATTAACCAAACATTGTACAGCTTATAGCTAGCACCCGTACAAGTTAGAGTAAAAAAAATGCGCTGATTTTATCAAGAAATGACTTCAGCTTTTTGCATAGCTTTAACCTCTAAACTACACAATTGGGCCACTTGTAACAAGCATATTGCTAATAGAAATTGGACAACCTTAGCGCTGAAACTTTATAAGTTCATAGCTACATGTAGGGAAATTTTAATAATTTGCCGAAAATTGCCAGAGTTTACCAAGGAGTTTATTGCTTTAAGTTGCAGTAGACATAACTGGTCAGCAGTCAGTGCCATTTCATTTGAAACAAGCGGCCAATCAGAATTTGCTTTACGCAGTCTAAACATTCAGGTAGATTGAAATATCCACACAATATTGAAATCTCCACACAAAGCATCCTAAGAGCAATACAAACTTGAACTTACAGTCGAAAATCAGGAAAAAGTTTCAATAAATTATGTCAGATTACCCGATTAAACCATAACGTAATTCCTTAGTATTGCATTCCCTAATGCGCACGATTTTCGCGTCATTAGCGCGCACATGAGCTCGTGCGCGCACAAAACGTAAGAGATTTCCCTCAAACTAAGCTCGATAGCCAAATAAATGCTCCTTTTCTCTCAAACGAGCACGGTGATCCCCGATTTTTTTTCAGGTATTTGCTAAGAACAGTGTAATAAAGAACATAGTTGAAGAAGAAACAAGTTTGATAGTAGAGCATGAATTTTTTTGGAAAATAGTTCCGTACTGGGCGTATTTTGGCCAAGGCGAGGACTTCAAGCTAACCAAGGAACTGTCCGAAAAAGTGCAATATTCCCACAACCAGGCAATCAAAAATGGCTTAAATGAAGCAATACTGCTTATGTGAATAAAAGAAGCTTTACTTTCAAGATAAGATTTTGTATCTTTCAAGTAACCAAGACATAATTCTGTAAGCAGGTGATTCGAATTTTTAATGCGCAACCAGCAAAAATACCCCATTTAAGAGCCTGCTGACGCGTAAACAAGCACGGTACAACATGCCATTGTATTTGATGAACTTGATGTAACCTTGGAAACCAACCACATTTTGGGAGACATATTATTCTGAATTGTAAACATTCTCGTCCCCAGAGCCCACGATCCTTCTGCTGACGCGTAAACAAGCACGGTGGCCCCATTTTTTTGATTGCATTTTTTTAACCTTGTTAGTATCTAAGTAACAGCTGCGACTTGATCTGAAATTTACCTGGACACAATTTGGTTAGCCTGCGCAGGCCAGAAGGATCGTGCGCTCTGGAGACGAGAATGAATTGTAAATTAAATTTAACTAATAGAAATGCTAAGCTAAGTCATATGGCGATCAAATCCAAAGCTATTTCGCCCAAGGCATGGTAGTAGTTTCCACTCTAAATATTCCTGTAGCACTGAAGTGTTTGCCACACTGTACCTAAACATGGCTATCCATAATATAAAGCGATTATTTATGTTACACAGAGTCAAAATGTTTGAATAACAGTTCACACTTATCTGGCACCTATCAAGTTACTATGAGCTAGACCAGCCTTATTGGGTGGAGGATGGGAGGGTGACAATTCCGTCAAAGAGAATTGAAAAGATGTGGAAAAAAGAGGTGAAAAACTGCCATGCAGGACCAGTGTGGTCTCGAAAAGTGTGTCCCACCAGATATTTGTATTGGTTTACCCCTGAGAGAGTCTCCAGAAACCTAAAGCAGAAGTTACCTTTTTTCTGATGGCATCAGGGAAAATGGGCCATCGCACGTGAAACGTTAACCTATAAGGATGGGAAACAAAAGGAAATTAATTTAACACAGTGCTTTTTTAATAAAAAATTAAAAAGTGATGGTGCCTCTTTGTACAATGGTTCAGAAAACAGGCAATGAATATTGAAGGGACAACAATTTCATACAGGTCTTGCAGTCCTGCTTCTTTGGAACAATAACCAATAACCCTCTGACCAGGAGCTGGCTCATATTAACATGTACATCGTTTGAAGTGCCACAACATGTTTAATATAAAAACAACACAAGAGTAATGAGCAGATGAAGTAGCGATTACCACACATTTTCATCTCACCAGACATACTTAACTCGCTTCAAGGACGTCAAATATTGCTGCACAGCGTTCAATTATTTGTTGTTCAAGGTCAATTAAGCCACAAAGTTAAACATGAAGTACAATGGACAAACAATACCCACAGAAAAGCTAGTAGCATGTTTAGCAAACTACGAAAGCTGTAAACAATTTCCCAACCTTCCTCTGCTAAGAGTACAAGGTTGAGAAATAACAAGGCTTGGGTGTTCCTTTCATTTATATCATCAAAATCAAGTTAAAGGGTGCGTGTAATGGTGGGACATTGCCTGCTCTGTCAAACCTTCTGTAGCATTTGTCATGAACATCATACTGAACAGAAATTTTACTGATTCAAAGCTTCATGTATGGCAACCACATAAACTCGTTTGCTGGGTGGAACCAATCCCTTTCTACAGATAGGTCAGTTCTTACGACATTTTTGTTTCAAAGTGAATGATGAAATTTGAGTAACGGACCAACCCCTTTCTAGAGCAGATCTTATACCCATCTCCTGTACAAAGCTCAAGATCCATTCAGAACAAGGAGAAAGTCCGGCTTCTGAAACAAATTCTATATGTATAGAGATTTACCGTTGAAAATTGCATGAAAAAACATTCTACAATTTAAAAGCTAAGCCAACCACAATGGTGAACCATGAAATTCAAGCAACAAAGAAACAATTTGTAGGTAAGACCAGTCTTTGCTTCACAGATCAAGCAACTCAGGAAGCGATTTTGCTGGGTGGACCAACCTCTTTGTAGGTCAGGCCTCACATCCATTTCCTGTACAAAGCTCAAGATCCATTCACCACATGCAGACAGCCCTGGTCAGTAAAACAAATTATATCATCTGAGATTTACCATTAAAAATTGCATCAAAAAAAAAATTCCCACAATATTTCAAAGCTCAGCCAATTGCAAAGGTGAACGATGAAGTTTGGGTAAATAAGAAAAAAAAAGAAAAACAATTTAGATCTAGCAACAGTCTTTGCTTCACAGATCAAGAACTCAGGAAGAGATTTTGCTGGGACACTGGACCAACTCCTTTTTAGGTCAGACCTTACACCCATCTCTTGTATAATGCTCAAAATCCATTCACTGCAGGAAGATAGCACTGGTTTGGAAAAAATTCTACACGTACTGAGATTTACTGTTGAAAACTGCATGAAAAAAAAAACCTACTATTTCAAAACTAAGCCAATCGCAAAGGTGAACAATAAAAATTTGGGTAACAAAGAAAAGAAACAATTTAGATCTAGGAAAAGTCTTTGCTTCACAGATCAAGAACTCAGGAAGAGATATTGCTGTGTGGACCAACCCCTTTCTAAGTCAGATTGCACACCCATCTCCTGTTCAAAGCTAAAAACCCATTCAGTGCAGGCAGATAGTCCTTGTTCCTAAAAATAAAATTATGTGTACTGAGATTCACTATTGAAAATTGCATGAAAAAAATTCCAAAAATCACAAAGGTAAACGATAAAGTTTGAGTAACAACGAAAAAAAAAAAAAATTTAGTTCTAGGACCAGTCTTTGCTTCACAGATCAAGAACTCAGGAAGCGATTTTGCTGGGTGGACCAGCCCCTTTGTAGCTCAGATCTTACACCCATCTCCTTCCAGTGCTGGAAATAATTTTTCTTCTTTAACAGGACATGTGACCTTTCAAATCTTTATTTTGGTTGGACATCTTATCAATTTGACCGGACGTTAATTTGCTTAATTGATTTGCATAAGTAATTAGCATAATAAAATTTATTAGCATACTGTAAAGATTTTCAATACAAATTGTTGAAATTTGATTTATTTATCAGTTATGAAGATTAGATGACTTTATCTACAAGATGACTGCACTGATCTTCCCTGGTTATCTCCTGATTATATGTCCTTCAAGCAAACCTAGTTTTCTATTGAATGCTACCATTAAATGACACAGTCAGCTTTGGGACCACGGTGACCTGAACACTAGTTTTCTCACTTTGAAAAAAGTTCATCTCCATTAACCTAAAATCAATGTACATCTAGAAATCCGCTTCAATCTTCACAGTGTTTTGCTTGATTTTCAATTGTTTACTGAAAAGCCTGTTTTTGAGTGTGCTTTTGCTCATCCTATGATATTATTTTTATTATAATTTTATTTGGTTAAAAACAGTATGGATCGCATCTCTGTGATATGCAAGTTAGCTATGAAATGGTATCTAATGCGCATGTGCTCCAGCTGACTGTGTCCGAGCCCATCACTAGGAGTGTGCAACTACCCCAATTGTTCCTGTCCCAGCCTTTTCACAGACCCATCTATTTTTAGTTTGAATTTAGTGCGAATTCAGACCACCGCAGAAACCTCAGTGACCAATCACAAGCATGGACTTTATAATTTCACTGGAAGATTAGGTCGACATGTCCACCTGAGGCCGCCATTTTTCTCCTTACCAATTCGCACTCATATAGACTGGAACTGACCTTTTTCCTGGGAAGAGAAGCCTATTAAGTATAGACCAGTCTGTTAAAATACCGTGACACGGGCTTAGTATGGGAGTTGCAGGCTCCTAGTGATGGGCTCCTGACCAAAGTATTCTCTAGGGTACATACATGAAGGGCTAACAGCATATCGCAATGTATGTAATGCATAATAGGGCGATTTCTGAAGAGTACTTTATTTGGCAAGTACAGGAAAGGTGACCAGGTCTTCTTTATGATATGGCAGGATCCCATAATGGGCTCCAGGATGTGGCTCAATCTGTCAGAGTCAAGGGCCCAAAATTAAAAAAAATTCTTGAGTAGCCATTTGGCAACTAAGTGATAAAAATCAAATACAAATTTTATTCAGAAAAGAACTCAATGCATAAAATCTGTAAAGATAAAAATTTCCAAGACTCTTTCGGCCGCTAATTTTGTATGCATAGCGAATGTAATGTCTAAGATTCATGCATTCCAAGAGACACAATCAGTAGGCATACATGCCGTACTCAATGCTCAAGGGTTTGCAATGCATTATAGGGTGATTTCAAACACAATCAGCCATTTGCGATATGAGGGTGATGTGAGGGAATCCTTTACAGCAAAGCAAAATGATAGATTGCTTTCTTTTCTTACATTGAATGTTATAGAATCAAAGATCTTTGACTATGTATTTCTGGAAGGGCATAATGTTTGAGAAAATAACCATTATTGGTCATCAACACAGAGAAACGTAGTCGCCATTATGGTAGCCCATGAATGCAGACGTATTTTTAGCTGTCGACTAAACCAGACGTTTTGGTTGATAAAGATGCAATTTCGGGCCTTATAACAATGTATCTAACTAAATTTTATGGATGGACAATAATTGGTGTTGGTGAAATGTTCGGACATCATGTCCGATCATAATGTGAAATTGGCCGGACATATCCAATATTTGGTTGGACAATGGCCGGTGACTGACTGTTATTTCCAGCCCTACCTCCTATACAAAGCTCAAGATCAATTCAGCCCAGGCAGACAGTCCTTGTTACTGAATAAATTTTATATGTACTGAGATCAACTGTTGAAAATTGCATGAAAAATAACATCCACTGTTTCAAACCTAAGCCAATCATAAAGGTGAACAATGAAGTTTGAGTAACAAAGAAAACAAAACAACTTGGAGGTAGGACCAGTCTTTGCTTCACAGATCAAGAACTCAGCAGGAAGAGACTTTGCTGGGTGGACCAACCCCTTTCTAGGTCAGATCTTACACCCATCTCTTGTACAAAGCTCAAGGTTCATTCAGCAAAGCCAGACAGTCCTGGTTTGGAAACAAATTCTACACACACTAAGATTTACTGTTGAAATTGCATGAAAAAAAATTCTACTATTTCAAAGCTCAGCCAATTGTTAAGGTGAACAATGAAAATTATTAGGGTGACAAAGAAAAAAACAACAATTAAGATCTAGGAACAGTCTTCACTTCACAAATCAAGAATTCAGGAAGAGATTTTGCTGGGTGAACCAACCCCTTTCTAGGTCAGATCTTACACCTATCTCCTGTACAAAGCTCAAGATTCATTCAGTGCAGGCAGACCGTCCTCGTTCCTAAAAAAAAATTTTATACCTACTGAGATTCACAGTTAAAAATTGCATGAAAAAAATTCCACTGTTTCAAACCTAAGCCAATCACAAAGGTGAACGATGAAGTTTGAGTAACAAAGAAAACAAAACAATTTGGAGGTAGGACCACTCTTTGCCTCACAGATTAAGAAGCTCAGGAAGAGATTTTGCTGGGTGAACCAAGCCATTTTGGATCATGTCTACTTATCTTGAACATCTGTCTGCCGAATATCAGTCGATACACTCGGCCAACATATCGACTGATACTCAGTTGATATGTCAGCTGACACTCGGCCGACACATCGACGGACATGCATGTCAGCCGACACTCAGCTGATACTTCATCGACACTCGGTCAACACTACACTCATTTGGTCGGCTCTTGTTGCTGACTTCTACCTTCTCTACTCAAATATTAAATAATCTTCTCTAGCCCAATGAGAGGGTCTTTCGGGGGCCCTCATCCGTTTTTCACTTTTCATACCAGCAACATTCTTCTATCTCAGACTGTTTTTTTCCAGCTATGCTTGCCAAACCTCATGTTGCATTTATTTAGATATGTATTCAAAATGACGGCAGTTTGAGCTGCATCCTCGCTCTAACAACATTTAACGAATTGACGTCAGTTTGTTATGCACCTGT